ACTTATTAAATAAATTAGAGACTATTTGTGTCAATTATTTAAAAAAATAATATTCGTTTATTTTCACTGAAGGGGCAGTAAAAATTTTCACTTTGAGAGAACTTGTGTGGTCATTTTAATTGACTAGTTAGTTGATTGGGGCACGTCCTTTGGACGTGAAGCCTGACTCGAAATGAATGCAAGATTAGGATGCAAGATTAAGAAATGAATGCACACGTCTTGCTTAAGTACGCTTATACAAAACAAACTGAGCAGCAATGAACTGCAACAACAAGCACATAATAAGAGTACGTAATTAAACCAATAACGCAGAAAAGTACAACCAAATACTCCTAAAAAGAAACAAAACAAAGTACACACCACCAAAGAAAGATAGCTACAACCACTCTATACAGTCATAATAGAGGTGTTCAAATATATTAAAGTCATGTTCGGTGCTTTGTATTAAATTATATCGTATTATAATATCATAACACAATAGTTAGTATCATGATCTATTATATAAAGAATTAAAATGTAAAATTTTAAAAATTTTAGAAGATCAAAAATACAAATTTTCAAAAAATTTGAGGTTAAAATATAATTTTTCAAAAGTTTTAGGATCAAAATGTAATTTTAAAAAATGTAAATTTGTATTACGCCACCTTAATTTTTAAACAATTATAGGCTCCGGCAAGACTGTATGTCGGCTAGATCCCGACCCCCAATCGTGCCCAATCCTAACATGAATCATGTATCTCCTATAGAATAATATATCACAATTGATAGAACCTCTGCTCAATCACCATCCTTGAATCATGGAGAACCGTTTGAAACAACAAAACAAGCCAGCTCTCCTACAGCTAATATCGCACAATGCTTGGCTCTTTCTCAAGGGTTTGATTTAGCAAGAATCAATCACATTAGCGATCTATTCCCTTGGAGAAATTACTTTCCCTTCTTTCCATCTTTCCTTTACCGTTGTACATAGTTGACTATCTTCTAAATATGTATATATATTCCAATACCTCTGTAAAGAAATGATAAGTGAATGAACATATATTCTCTCTCTTATTTTTCAAATTGGTTAACAATATGTCAAAAATGAACCGTATTTAATATTACGATATAGACTATATTAATTTATCATCCGTATTAATTTATACAATATGATAGTTACACTGGATATTATATTTATATTTTATTATATAATACGGTGTTCTAATATGATTAATAAATATGCTCTAAAATAATAAAAAAAGTAAATACGTACCTACATGATGTCATAAATAATGTATTTGACAGAATATATCTGAATACTCTACGCGATACCATATATGATGCAATTGACAGAATATATATAACAACATGAAACATTCCTTAAGGCCACATTTTTTTTATTTTAATCACGTTAAGTTTCTCGTTTCTTCTACTTCTCTCGTTAAGTTGGTTTGTTTGTTTGCGTAAGGGATTATCTCTTAAGTTCTACGAGATTATTTAACTTCCTTTAGCGCATCAAACTTTTGTAATATTACAAGCTCAGCTGACGTCTACAAAGGAATAAACTGCCCCTTTATCCAAATTGAGAACAAAAAAAAAAAAAAAAAGGCCGTCCTTATTCATTCGAATTGGAGATAAACTCTATTCAACTTTGAAAAAAAAAAAAAAATCGCAATTAATTAGCACGTGGGCTGCTCCCTTTATTATATACCATCAACATCGTGGTCACTCCTACGCATATTTCATAATGCATCGAGTACTTAAGAATACTTTAGAAAATATGAAAAGATATATTGTTACATATAATATGAAAATATATAGCTTGAAGGGTTAATAACTTATAGACTTAGATCTCGTTCATTTTACCGATTCGAGTTTTTAATTTTAAATTTTTAAACTTAAAAACTCTTAGAAAATGTCACATCTAATTTTTTTTTTACTATTATTAAAAAATTTTAAAAAAATATCACATCTCAACTCAAATTAAAAATTTAAATGGGGCCTTAGTCACAAAGACATGAGCTTTGCCCAATTGATCAGAATGTTAAGGCGTTGACTCAACTCCCACTTTGACTCACGAGTGGGATCTTTGGCGGCACAATAGAACAAGGATTTTATGCTCCACTGAGTCAAAGCTGAATTTACATTTGAATAATTTATAGGTATACGTGTGATAAGTCGAAAGGGGATAAGCATAATCATATTGCTAATCAAACACTTGAACGACACCTAATAACCTTCCATACTAGGCGTGACCTTAACCTGATCAAATACCAATCATATTAAAATAAATTTAAGTTTAGTGGAAGAAGGTTTTGTATAGCACATGAAAATCCACCATAGAAACTTTGATTTGAAAATATTGATCAGACCTGTCATGCACGCGCACTACTAATTTAACATATCCAATTTTTGTGTACAATGTTTTGATCCATATTATTATTAAGCCACTACAAAGCATATATGTACGTCGTTTTTTATTCTTCCTCTTTTAATTCAGCTGTAAACGATTTGAATTTCATCCAAAAGTGATTAAACCAATGATAATATGTCATTGTTCAATGATAAATAAAATATTGTTAATTGAGTGCTTGAAAGGCATGGGGAAATGCTTACAGATATAACTTAACGGAAAATCCATATTTAACTTTAGTATAAGGTATAAAGTTTGAATTCCCACCATCAAGTTATTAAAAAAAGAAAAAGAGAATAGGGAAAAAATATATCACGAGATTAGCGGGGGAATGGCAACATGTAAAGGTCCAGATATAGATCAATTGTGATCGACTAATTGGGACCATTCAGAAAATTATGGCGAATCCTTCGGTCAAATCTACTCGTTATTTGGTGTATAGTAAAATGCAAGTTCTGAACGGAAAAAAACATTAATTTAAAAGTTTATTTTTATCTGTACGGCACTAATGGAGAGAGTAATTTAGTGCGAGACAGAGAAACACACATTTGTAGTTATTTTTTGGTGCCGCTTACAAACCTTTTGACCAAACTAGTTGAGTCACACATGACGAATAATTTTATAAGTTTATATTTATCTCGCGTTATAATATGTGGCTTTTTAGAAGCTAAGTTTATTAATTCTAGTAGGAGAAAAAAAAGTATTTTAAAAAATCATATTAAAAAAATTAAAATTAAATAGGAGTTTTTTGACAAAAATAAATTAGGAAAACATCTGAAAGTATTCAAAGAAGGATATAATAAAAAAAATGAATTGTCAAATAATGGTAGGAGAAAAAAAAAAAAAGAAGACAATGAGCAAAAGAAAAGAATAAAAAATAATTAAAAAAGTTAAAGTTATATAGGAGTTTTTGAAAAAAAAAAAAATTAAGGACGTTTCGAATAAATTATTTTATTTAAAAAATATGTTAAAGAAAGATATTGTAAAAAAAAAAAAAAAAACTGCCAAAGAATGTTTGAGAAAATTAAAAACAACAAAAGACATTTGGCAAAGAAAAAGAAGTAAAATAAAAAGTTTTAAAGAAGAAAAACAGGAAAAGATGAAAAGTTAGGGAAAAAGAGAGAGAGAAAACAGAAGAAGTGGCCTCCTTCATAGCCCTTGGCAAAAAAATAAAATAAAATAAAATAAAATAAAAACGAAATATGATTAGAAAAGAGCAAAACACATTTAAAATAAAAGAGCAAACTGTAACATTCATAAAAAAAAAAGAACAAAACATTTAAAAAACTAAAAAAAAAAAAAAAAAAAAAAAAAGATAGAAAAAGTTAAAAAGAAAAAAAAAAGCGAGGGGAGGAGGGGTGGGGAGAGAGAAGGGGCTACCACGTGGAGGTCTTTCAGTTTGAGGTTTCTACAGTAAAAAGCTCTCAAAAAATGTCACATCTAACTTTTTCTGCTACAGTGAAAAGCTCTCAAAAAATGTCACATCTCAGCTCGAATTGAAAACTCAAATCCGCGAAGTGAACGAGGCGTAAGTGTGGACACATTTGGAGAAAATTATTTTAACCATTGTCCAAAAAAGCACATGCGAAAGAAATCAATTTCATATGAGTAAACTGAGGAAAAAAATGTATTTTATAAAAACATAGGTAAAAAATTAAACTACAAAAAACGTTAGCAAAATAAAAAATAAAAAAAAACATTTAAAAAATAAGAAAGAAAAAAAGATAAAGAAAAGGGAGAAAAAGAGGAAGGAGGCGGGGTGAGGGGGAGGAGCTACCACGTGGCAGCCTTGAGAGTGCTTAGAGAGCACTGTAGAAAAGAGTACTTGACTCTTTTATCTATTGTTAGATTAGATGTTAGATATACAATTAGATATAAATAATGATAAAGATAACTTTCGATACGATAGAAATTACACGGAAAACCCTTTTAAAAAAATTACACGAAAAACAATTAAATATGAACATGTTTAAACAAAATTATTTTAACCGTTAACAAAAAATTAAATAGAAATAGATGTGAAGTGAGGGAAAATATATTTTAAAAAACACATGTAGAAAATTAAACTGTAAATAAACATATACATAATTAAAAAAATAAAAGAATAAAAGAAGCAAAAGACTTAACAGGAGAAAATGCAAATAAAAAGGTAAAGAAGGGAAAAAAGAAAAAAAAAATGGAAAGATGAGGAGGGGTTGACACGTGGTACTCTAAGGGAACAATTCTTTGAAAAAGACCGTTTTAGTTCTGTTATGTTTTGTTATATTGTTAGATTAGATTATATTGAAGAACAGGTTATATACAACATAATTGGTAATGACGAATAATAGCATCCTAAAATAAAAAATAAATAATAAAAAGCAAATCAAGAAAAAAAATATATAGAAATTGAGACACCGAGAAATATAGCATTATCTCACTACTTTTCATCTAGAGTTTGGTATAAATAATGTGCAAGTTGGGATCGAGATCATCATCCCGAATAACAAGATCCTCTCCTGCGTTAACTAAGTTTCAATAGTTTCATATATAGCTGTGTCCTTTTTTTTTTTTTTTTTTGGGTTAAAAAATCTATCTAGCTCAAAAAGGAGTTGTAATATTTAAGAAAATGAGGTCATTCTCGTTAGTAGCGGTGCTTCTCTCCTTTTGCTTGTGCTCTCATATTCTTGGTGTTGTAGGGGACGTGGGTTATGCCGGATCTTACAGTCCTCCATACTTGCGTATGTAGTTTCCTATCCTAATTACATCATATTTTTTTAATCAGTTATAGCACTATCATATTAATCAACATTATAAATTATAATTAGCGACATATTACATAGAGATTTTCCTAAATCATGTTTTAGGCGATAGCATGCATGATATATATAATGTAATGAATCAAAATCAATTATCACCGGAAATCCTTATCCACCTAGAAAATAAGAAACTACAAACAATTAAATTTTTATTTACTTATTCTATCACATGAGTACTCTTTGTTTTGTGCGTTGTGTTAAATTTATGAAACAGCGACAAAATGCAAAGGAATGGACGTAGAGCAATTTCCGGAGGACGGATATTTTGTGGCGGTGAGCGAAGGGCTGTGGGACAACGGAGCGGCGTGTGGTCGGAAATACCAGATGCGGTGCATAAGTGGCCCTCGACGACCTTGCAAGGGTGGCACCATCGTCGTTCAAGTTGTTGATTTCTGCAAAACCTATCCATGCCCTACCACACTCGTCCTCTCCAACAAAGCCTTCAATGCCATTTCTAGGTCTCCAAATGCCAGAATCAACGTTGAATTTGCGCAGTACGTTAATTATATATAATGAGCTTTCTTTCTTTCTCTCTCTCTTTTCTTTCTTTCTTTTCGGAAATGTGAATTGGTATTGTTATTTAGACATACGTATGAATCTAAAAATACAAGAGTCAAAAAAAAAAAAAAACTCTTAAATAATACTTTTCTTAGACCGTCACGTAGCGATTTCTCCTACTCATTTTTCTCTTTTTCCTTTTTTTTTTCCTTCTTCATTTTTATCTTTATTTTTCTTTTTTCTTTTTTTTTTCCTTCTTTACATTTTTATCTTTATTATTCTTTTTTCTTTTATATTTTATATTTTTTGTTTACGTAAATTTTTTTTTTTTGCTCATTTGCTCCAATGAACATAATTTCTTTTATATGTTTTCTATTTAATTTTTTTTGTCAATGGTTAAAATAATTTTCTTTAAATATGTTCGTACTTAATTATTTCTTATGTAGTTCCTGCTCTAAATGTTATCTTTACAATACACATTTTTTTCTACAGTGCTCCCTCCACCCTCTTTTTTTTAATTCTTTTCTACTTTTATTATTTTTTATTATTTAAATGTTTTTTTTATTTTATGAATTTTTCTACAATTTAATTGTTTTTAAGTGTGTTATCTCTTTTTTATCTTATTTTATTTTTTATGTTTTTTTTATTTATTTAAGGGTTGTTTTATAGTTTATTCTTTTCACAATTATTTATATATCCAATCTAATGTTTAACATCTATAAAGCAGCCAAGTCGACTTAGGACTAAGCCACGTGTTGGCATCCTCTTTCTTTTTTTTTTCTTTTTTTTTTAAACTTTGCCTCCTTTTTTATTTTTTAATTTTCTCTTTTTTTATTTTTTGCTTATTGTCTTTTTTATTTTTTCTCTTCATATTTTTTTAGAATTCTTTTATTTTTTGTATAACATCCACCTTTAAAATACTTTCTTTTAATTAAAATAATCCTTTTAAATACGTCCATACTTTTTTTTAATTAAAAACTCCTATATAACTTTAATTCTTTTTTTGTTTAAACTTTTCCTCTTTTCATCTTTTTATTTTTTTATTTTTTCTTCTTTTCGTTTGCTTATTGAATTTTTTCCCTAACACTCTTTGACCATTACATTTTTTTTTACCACATCCTTCTTTGAAATACTTTCTTTTCCTCACCTTATTTTAATCAAAACCTTTCAAATGTCCCCATACTTAAGTTTTTTTTCTTGGTCAAAAGCTCATATATAATTTTAATTCATTTTCGATATGATTTTAAATTTTTTTTTCTCTTGCTCTAATTAACGGACTTAAATTCTAACGAAGCTACATATTTTAACATGGGATTAAACGTATAAAATTATTCTATACGTGCATAACACGTGGCTCAACTAGTGATGATAAAAGCATGACCAAGAAAGCTCTTTTTTTTCTGTTTTTGTAGAATATGATGGAGTCCAATCGATCGAGCTGCATCCAACTTTTGCATGGGGATCTATTGTAGGAGTATAAAATTATGAGAACTTCTATAGTAAGGATTGTCTTTTTAATTACTGATAACAACTGTTGTTTAACCGTTAGATTAAGTTTTTAATGGTGTGATCTGTGAGTATACATTAAAAATTTATAACACGTGACATGAAATTTCTCAAATCACAAATCACACCGTTGAGAATTTAATCTAATTGTTAACACATCAATTACAACGTCAGTTAAAAAGGACAGACCTGACATTAATAAAACATAAATAAATTAGGGCAATCTCTTTCTTGCAATATATGATGATCATCCCAGCATTAACTGGGTACAAGTACAACAACTACGTCATTTTCTCGCAGCGATATTTTTTGTTCCTTTCCAAGGAGCGTAGTTTACAATCAAAAGAAAATCGTCGGTACTTTTTTTTTTTTTTACAACAAACATTTTTCTCACATAAAGAAGGTATAAAGAATGTTCTAATTTAGATAGTGTATTTGGGTATTATACTATACTCTGAATCTATGTATTACAAAGTATTTCAAAAAAAAAAAAAATGTATTACAGACAGTCTTATTGGATGGTCAAGTCGAAAGATGGAACGCCAACTAAATCCACAGATTACCCAACATTTCACCTTATTCCGTCAAAAGAATAAAAGAATAGAATTCCATCAAGATAATCTCACAACATATATATCCACGATTATTATTGGAAGCTTTATTGTAAGTTGGTTGCACAAGTAGTTTCAGATTCTTGGCATAATTCCTTCCGGAAACAAGGATGAAGGTTACGAACACCGTCCAGATATAGTGGCGTCTGCATTTCGATCAACCGGGATACCTGAATAGACAGTTCCTTTTGTTATAAAAAATAAAAAAAATACTTGCAACAATTTCTTCAATGTTATTTTTCTTTTATACTTTCGTAAGAGATCATGGTGGACAATTACTTGTGATGCAAGTGTTTGCAAATTGCTAATATAAGCATACCTTTTAAGTAAAGAGAAAGAAATAGACAGTTTCGTTTTTAATGCTAGTTGCTACTTACTGCTCGGCGGAAAGCAAACGTCTCTTCTTCACCAGAAATCATGGATATAATACTAGTAGAGGAACCCCCTGAACCCACAGTCCCTACTGCCAAAACATTTCGACGGAGCTTTCCACCTTCCGTCTCTGCTTCGAATTGGAAACTGTAAACAAACAAGTTAATTATGTCTATTCAGATACTTGAACGAAGGTTTGCCAACTACAAAAGAGAAGCTAGGTTTCGTCGAAAAGAAAAATACTCAATTTAGATATACAAAAGAAAAGAAAGAGTAAAAACAGAGGACGCAAATGAAATGCTTATTTAACTATACAGGCCAGAAGTCGTTAAACAAAACTCTTGCTAGTGCACCAAAATCTTCACCACCACCTCATAGAACACCAGAATCCTACACAGAATGTGATAATACTATATTGATCTTGACAATTTCACAACTGCGTGTTCTTACTTAATAGTAAAATTGCCTTTTGGTAACTTTTTTTTTTTTTTTTGCGCCCTTGTCATTGCTAAATTTGGCCAGAATTCAACAATGAAGTTTATGGAAGCATGATAATTTATTTCACTACTTGAAGATATCTTGAATCTTTGTAAAGTGTGAAAGGATTTATTCTAGGTCCTAATGCCAACATTTGGATCTCTTACGCTTACCTCTCCAAATCAAGAAGTGTTCCCTCCTCAGTTCCTTGAAATAAGTCATCAATTGAAGATGCTGCAGAACAGACCAGGTGGCAGTGATGATTGTACAGCTCGTCAATTAGGGTGATAAACCTCCGAGCCTGAAGAGTAGAAACAAATTTTTTCCATAAATAGACGCAATATCTGAAGTATCATAAAGAGTTGACTTTCTTATACGTAAGATGCAGAAATGCATGTAAGATGCAGCTGAGATAGCTGAGATCTGTGTGGTATGATCATTCCACCATCTCAACAATGACAATTAGTCCTCTAGTTCACCCTCTTCCTCTCTTTCCTTATTCTGAACAGTTGTTGATACAAAATGCTGAAATGTGCAATAATCTCTGTGCTTATCGCTTGTCCTTTTAATCATTTTAAGGCTCAGAAAAGCTCAACTATTTAGTATAGAGTATGAATACTGCATATATAACAATTAATTCCGCACACATCATCTGGCCTTCATTTTATCAGTCAAAAGGCAGCAATAGAACCTTATCACGAATACGCATACTCATCACTGGAATATCAGATATGAAGACGGTGTGATAGTTTTCTGCCACTGCAATATAATCTGCTGCACCTACCTGTGGTCAATTAAGAACAACGAAGCAAATAAACAAAAAAGTCAGCTTCCATCCGATGACCATGGTGAGTGCTACTAGAGACGAGGAAATTACGCAAAATCAATGTTTTCTCATATTTGCGAATGAATAGTACCGGCTGACCACATAAATACTCAAATGTGAACCTTGCAACTCCATGACAGCTTTCGGGAACCTCCAAAATTCTGTGATTTAAGAAACTGGTGTCTATGAAGTGCATAACAAATAATCATCATATTGATAACATTAGTTAATCTAAAGTACCTCCCAAACATTACTGGAATACTAAGAGAGGTGATCTGTCCTCCCTCTTCACCTGTGACCTCGTGCCACATCTTCTCATAGTCCTCCAAAACAACGCTATCCAAAGGCCAGAAGTAGTGAACCTGAACAAAGAAGTAAGATTTTCAGCTACAAATTACAATGTCAAGCTTCATTAATATTTTCAGCTACAACTAGAATATCATGCTTCATTAAGCAAACACAATTACCAGCCAACTTCGGAGCAATTGAAGGCTGAATTAACTGATACATGCTTATAAGGAAAATATAAATTGATACACATGCACGTTTATACATATAAAGACGATGCCCCAATTATACAGAGACGTTAAAAATCTGAATATATATTATGAACAGCAGACATGAAATGCGGAACTGATCCAGATATCGATCATGAAACTATGAAAAGGCGATCCGTAATTTCGTAAATAGCTCACAGTTGCAAATTGCCTGGATATTGTTTGCCCTATATTAGAAATAAAATGAAAGCAAAACTCTCTTAACAGGACACTCATGCAAGAATTTACAATTGAACATTCACAATGCCTTGATGTAAAAACTGGAATTGCCTAACCCTCACCTGGTCTATGGATCTTTGAGCTATTAGACGACGGTAGTCAATCTCACTTCCAATGTAAACAATCTTACAGTGCTCATCCAATTTGGCTAGAAATTTCTCGAAGATCTCCCGCTGCATACCATCCTGTGCAAGCGTGTCACTCGAGCAATGTAAAAACTCTACAATTTTTCAATTTTTCATTTACTTCTTTTATTATTTTACGTTATTTTATATTATTTTTGCAAAATTTAGCAGACCTTTCAGAGAAATACAGTTATTAAAAACACAAAAAACAGCGAAGTTTTGCATATGAGTTCAGAAACTGCTAATAGACAATTATTAGCTTGGATTGCTTTCATCCATCACAACTAATGCAGCAAGAGTAAGAGGTTACCTAGTAAAATCCAAACGGAAAAAGAATTTCTTATGCAATGCATGTGAGAAATAAGGAGGCATAGAATATTCCAGATTTCTTAGCTTCTAATAAATAAATCACCTGATTTAAGTCATTAGGTGCTCGATTACTTGTGGCCACAAGCACAGTTCCTGTACTTAACAATCTGCTTAGAATCCCAGACAAGGCCACAATAGCAAATACATCAACAGTCTGTAACAGAAAGCATGTAAATCTACGTCATAAAACGAGTTGCAAATATAACCTAGGTCTTAGTAGTATGTACTTGCAAACGAGGAAAAACAACCGCAGAGATAGACTCAATCAAAGGATAACTATGGTATGAATGCAAAAACTAGGGATGCAATTTGGCCTCATGAAGCTATATCTTTCTAGCTTATATTTTCAACAAACATCTCACCTGGATCTCATCAAAGCAGAGAATACTTGCTCCTTTTCGATCAGCATCAGCCTGCTGGTTGATCAGGAGCTTATCTGCTACAGCTAGAAGAATGTTTTGCATCTGAGCCTCCTGCTTGTATTGTTCTTCTGCAGCCAACCACTCCTTTACTTTTGTATCAAACGGAAGATTTATTATCCAATTGGAAATACTCGATTGTAATGATTTTCCCTCCACTTGATTTTTCCATATCTTATGCATCTGCTCATTAATTTTAAGCATGGCCTGCAAGTAGAGATATTAAAAATAGATATCTCTTCTTTGTGTGTGTGTGCGTGTGTATGTGTGTGCGCGCACGCGCGCGTTTGTGTGTGTGCGTGTTTGTGTGTATTCATTTACGTTAAAGGTTAAACAGCACATATTTTTGCAATAAGAGCTTTGAATTAACACACATGAAGGATCACCAATAAATAAAGTTATCCAAATTTTGAAAATGAAAAAGCTCACCTCATGAAAGTGATACCTCCTTCGATGCTTAACAATTCCTTGAGTGACACCATAAAACATATCCATAAGCATTGTCTTTCCTAAGGTACCAAAAGTTTCTTCAGTTATGCTTAGTCACATTAAAACGACAACATATATAAGTGCAGATAAAGCTGCTATAATGAGATAATTCACTAAACCTACTGCAGAGTCAACTTCCATAAGAATTTAACTAGGGAGAATTCTTTGGTTGAGTATGCCCTACTAGTAGAACACAATTATCAACCGTTAGATTTTCATCAAGTTCCATTCAATTATACATTTCTTAGTCTGATGTGATCTGACTATTAAAAACTTTTACTACCAGTAGGGTATTTTTTTCATACTCCACAACAGAATTATCAAACGAAATATGAAATTCCTTCCAGTAATTTGCTTGACGGGTTAAAAAATATTCAATATAAGGAAATACCACTTCCGACATTGCCCCATATATATAGTCCTTTTGGAGCTGGAGGAGCAGTTGGACGAGAACAAACCAACGAATCCAACTTCTTCTCGCGATTAAGGTATGAAACCCATTTCCCCACTCCTGGTTCTACATTTTCAGGTTTTCTCCTGAGTCAAACAAAACCCTTTTTTATACCAAAAAACCAAACCACAATATATGCAGAAGAGCTAGTGGAATATGTAATAAAACTAAACTTAAATGCAAAACATCCTTGGAAGACACTCTCAGGTGAAAACTACAATCAGATTCACTCGTGAACCAAAAAATAAACAAAATTTGGAAAGTATTAATCTGTGCCGAGCCAATTTTGTATCAATATAAACTTAGCATCCTGCCAAAGCATTGTGGTGCTCAATGACTAGAAAATAGAAATTCTCGAATTTCACATAAATGGTAAAAGATTGAACTTTTGATGTGGGTTTTACCTGAACAACCATCTTCCAGCGCCTGTGAAGCGATGACTGCTTATGCCCTCCTGCTGTTTGTGCTCAGCTTCCGCCATTAAAAGCCTGCGCCGCTCATTCTCCCTCTTCTCCTCCCACTTCGCTAGTCTTTCCTGGAAATGTAAGACAGCGATACAAAAACCATAAAAAAGGATCGAAATTTAGGCTTAACGGATACTTTTATATGATGTGAATTATCTAAATTGTACATGATAATCCTCCATTTCTCTCTCGTACTGCTCTAATCTCCCAAGCAAGTTCTCCAGCTCCAAAGCAACCCTCTCCTGATTCGGATCATCTTGAAGCTTCCCTTTTTCAACCAGATTCCTGTATAGCGCCAGCGGCCCTAAACAAAAAGAAGAAAATTTTGGATTCATTTCGTGTATGTATGCGTGTATATATACATATACATATATAGAGATATAGAGAGAGAGAGAGAACCTGGAGGCTTAGAGTGAGAAAGATTAAGTGATTCAGAGTAAGAGCGAAGCGAATTGAAGCGGGAGTAGTTGGAGGAGGCTGGGCCATGAACGAGCCCTAGACATAGAATTCTTGAAATTGGTGAAGCCTTTCTCACCATCATCATCTTCCTAGCCTTGATCACAGAGGTGTCTGAGGAGCTGAGGAAAATCGAATTCCGCTTCGCCATCGTCGATTTCTCTGAAATAGCTTCGGAATTCAGACCCGAGGTTGAAGATGGTGACGTGGCATCAAATTGACCAGCCACGTGACAAAAGCGCGCGACAAGAACTAATACGACTCGCTAACTCGCTCAACGGTTTTAACCTTTTTCTGAGCGCTTTTTTCTTCCTTCTTGTTCTTCTTTCTCTGAGAATCTCTTCACTTTCTGTAAATGCAACTCCAAAGCCTCAAGAAAAATGTCGTCCGTACAGTCGCCGCCAACAAAAGAGCGGCGGAGCAGAGCTGCTTATCGCTTCTCGAAGCCTGCGACGCTCGTTGCAAATTCGTTCAACTCCAAGCGCACATTCTCAAACTAGGTCTGCGAAACAACCCGCTGGTTCTCACTAAGTTCGCCGCCATATCTTCCGAGCTTAACGCCGTCGACTATGCTTCCTCGTTCGTGTTCTCTCCCGACGCCGATTCCCGTCTCTACGATGCCTTCCTCTTCAACACCGTCATCAGAGCCTACGCCCAAACCGGGGACTTAAAGGAGAAAGCTTTGGTTTTGTACAACGCCATGCTTCGTTGCGGGGTTTTGCCTAATAAATTCACGTACCCTTTTGCTCTCAAAGCCTGTGCGGGCCTTGGGAGCTTGAGTTTAGGCCAGACGGTGCATGGTTCGGCGGTGAAGTTTGGTTTTGACGACGATGTTCACGTTCAGAATACCATGATTCACATGTACTGTTGTTGTGGAAGTGGGGTTAAGTATGCACGGAAAATGTTTGATGAAATGCCGAAGCGGGACTCGGTTTCTTGGAGTGCGATGATTGGCGGGTATGTGCGGCTGGGATTGTCCACTGACGCGGTTGACTTGTTTAGGAGGATGCAGATTGCCGGGGTTCATCCGGATGAGATCACAATGGTGTCTGTTCTCTCGGCGTGTACGGATTTGGGCGCACTTGAGCTTGGGAAGTGGGTGGAGTCTTACATTGAGAGAGAAGGGATTCAGAAGAATGTGGAGCTTTGTAATGCTCTCATTGACATGTTTGCTAAGTGCGGTGATGTTGATAAGGCCTTGAAATTGTTCAGAAACATGAGTGGAAAAACGATTGTTTCCTGGACTTCTGTTATTGTTGGCCTGGCAATGCACGGCCGGGGTTCCGAGGCAGTTTCTTTGTTCGAGGAAATGATAAGAAATGGAACAGTTCCTGATAATGTGGCCTTCATTGGGCTGCTTTCTGCATGCAGTCATTCAGGATTAGTTGATAAAGGAAAAGGGTATTTCAGTTTAATGACAAAAGAGTATCAAATTGTTCCAAAGATGGAACACTATGGATGTATGGCGGATATGTTATGCAGGGCAGGGCTTGTCAATGAAGCAGTGGCATTTGTTCAAAAAATGCCTGTCGAGCCAAACCCAGTAATCCTGCGGACATTGGTCAGCGCTTGTCGTGCTCATGGTAAACTCAGGCTGGGAGAGACCATCAGCAAAAGCCTAATTTCGAATGAGCCTACACATGAGTCGAACTATGTACTACTTTCCAATATTTATGCGAAAATGTCTCGCTGGGAGAACAAAACCAAGATCAGAAAAATGATGGGCAAGAAAGGGATGAAAAAGACCCCCGGGAGCACCATGATTGAGCTAGACAATGAGATTTATGAATTCGTGGCTGGCGATAAATCACATAAACAATACAAGGAAATTTATGACATGGTGGACGAGATGGGGAGGGAGATGAAGAGAGCTGGTTATGTTCCTAGCACTTCAGAGGTGTTGCTAGATATTGATGAAGAAGACAAGGAAGATGCTTTGAACCGGCATAGCGAAAAGCTGGCGATTGCTTTTGCTCTCCTGAACACACCACCGGGAACTCCCATTCGAATAGTGAAGAACCTGAGAGTTTGTAGCGATTGCCATTCTGCTACTAAGTTCATTTCAAAGATTTATAATAGAGAAATTGTGGTGAGGGACAGAAACAGGTTTCACCATTTCATGGACGGCCTCTGCTCATGTAAAGATTTTTGGTGACAAACTATTTGCCATTTTTCCGTAGATGACAAATTTCCAATAAATCAGATGAACAGTCCAGTCAGAAACTTCAAACAGGGCAGCTTAACAATTTTCCATGATAAATACTAGGTGCTTTTTGGTTACTAGGTTCAAGCATTACGAATCAAAAAGTCGGTTTGAAATGGCGTTTGGCAACTTTTTTTAGACCCATTTTGAACCATTTATTTGACAAGTTCCAAATCGGATTTACACGCAGAGTGTTTTTAACTTAAGACCACCGCCCTCCCCCCACCCAAAAAAAAAAAAAAAAAAGGTCTTCAGCATTTTAAACTAAAATGCACAATATTTTTAACTCAAGACCTACACTCGTTTGACACCTTTTCACACAAAACAACTATATTTGAATCACACATAGAGATGCAAGAACGGGCCGGCCCGGCCCGTTCTTCTTAGGCCCACGTGGGCCGCGGGCCGGGCCAGCCCAACTCACGAATTTTGTGGGCCAGGCCAGGCAGACCCGTGTAAAAATGACTTCGGCCCAGCCCACATCACAGATCAATTTTATATGGATCAGGTTGGGCCATGCCGCAGGCCAGGATGGGCCGGCCCACTCAAGGCCCATCTTGGCCCATCATATGTTTAGATGAGCTAGCCAATCTAACAATGCAATTTTTTTTTTATTTTTGAATTTTTAAACAAGTTAACAAATATATAAGTTTGAATAGTAAATGAAAATATGGAAAGGGATATTTTATTTACGATTACCTTATTAAATAAAAATCTTTATAAGAAAAACCCATTAAGACAACCTTAGTAAGGAAAAAAGAGTACAATAAGGATAATTATACATAAGAT